CTATACCAGGAAGGGATAACAGTCTTATTATCAGAGAGGAGATGGTACTGAAAGGAGTATAACAAACAAACCTTGTCTTCCTAGCTCTTACCATCCATTAATTTCCCCCATATATTTACTTCCCCACAATTTGCAGCCCCTGGAAGCTTAAAGTCCCTATCCTTTGTCTTGCCAATTTTCTACCAATGTATTTTCCTTTTGTTAGGGTGCTATATAAGCCCAAATCCTGAGTTACTCACTACTGGGTATCTCCATGAATATGCATGATGCACATGTTATTGAACTTCTGTTTGTTTTTCTCTTGTTAATCTGTTTTTTGTCAGTCTAATTTTCAGGGCCCCATCAAAGAACCCAAGATGGACAGTGGAAAAAGATTTATTCCCTCCCTTACAATAAAAATTAAAAAGAGAGAGAGAGAGAGAGCTGACCTGCCACTATCTATTTCAGATGGTCAATCAGAGACATGCCCTTTCCTGTGGGCATTTGTTCGTGACCCAGGAAGTTGTGCAGGCATCCATGGTACTTTTATAAAGCAGGGCCCCATGGAGGGGTGTCCTACAAGTGGGAATGTCCCAGAGTCTGCTTCTGTTCGCTGAGCCCTCTTTCAGGTCAACACAGGGCAAACCAGGGCTGAAACAGCCCAGCAGCAGTCAGCCCCGCCCAGGTTTCAGCTTGGAGTCAGGGCCAGGCAGTCAGGACCTGTGAATTCCAGATTTCAAGAGTCAGCTGCTTTTCTTCCAGCAGCAGCAAAGCACAAAGAAAACTGGCTCCCAGAGGCAGCCAGGTGATTGAGGCTTATCATGCAGTGTTGATAAACCATTGGCAGGTCCGTGTGTGTGTGTGTGTGTGTGTGTGTGTGTGTGTGTGTCTATTGATTTATTGATTTCAGAGAGGAAGGGAAAGGGAGAGATAGAAACATCAATGATGAGAGAGAATCATTGATTGGCTGCCTCCTGAACGCCCCCTACTGGGGATTGAGCCCACAACCTAGGCATGTGCCTTGAGCAGAATCAAACCCGGGACCTTTCAGTCCAAGGGCCCACACTCTATCCACTGAGTAAACAGCAATCATTGGCAGATCCGATCCCTCTCTGCTGGTCTCAAACCTGACAGAATGAATTTGCTGACATCATGAAGTCAGTCATTTTTTCTACGGCTTCATAGCGTGGTATGGTGAATCCTGTCTCCAGAAACACATGAAGTCGTCCCTCCCCTGCCTCCCGGACCCTGAAATCTGGCTCACCCCTCAGATCAAACACACACTGGAATGCCAAACAGTCCCTCTCAAAATCTCGCTGGGGACATGGGAAAATATTTCCTGCTCAGCTGTTGGATCTGGCCAACCATAACCCTCCTTGCCCACACGCAGCTCTTTCTAGCCTTGTTTACTCCACAGAAAAGAAAAGCGCTTTTCGGACTAATCCTTGAGACATTTGCAGACCTTATGACCAGAGCCATCTCCCTATTGCCCTTATTGCAACAGTCATTTTTCCCCACGTAATAAACTTTATTTTTAGAGCACTTTTAGGCTTATAAAAAATGCACAGAAAGTACAGTTCTAATATACCACCTGCTCCACACCCTCACCCACTGTACAGTTCCCCCTAAGATTAACATCTTGCATTCTGTGGTTTTGTAGTTCCTACTGATGAACCAATATTAATACATTATTACTAAAATCCATAGTTCACATTGGAGTTCATTTTTTTTGTATTGTATGTAACATCATGTATGCACCATGACACTATCATAAGAAGGGTTTCACTGCCCTAAAAATGCCCTGTGTTCCACCTAGTCATCCATTCCCCCACTCCCTCTAACCCCCTGACAACCACTGATCTTTTTTTCTATTTCTATAGTTTGACCTTTTCCAGAATGTCATATAGTTAAAAATCATACAGTACGTAGCCTTCTTAGGTGCGTCTTTCACTTAGCAATATGCATTTAAGGTTCCTTCATATCT